TGCAGCCGGGTTTATCTTGGGACGAATGGCATTCATCTTCGTCCCAACAGAAGGAATGGGAAATTGTTTGACAGACATCGAAAAGATGAACGGGGACAAATTGTACCGTGCAGAACACCAGAAGCAAACGGGCTATTGAAAGATTTCTTGCCGTCCCAGCATGCACGATGCCTTCTATCCGTGAAATAATCGCGGATCAATTTGCCAACGTTTGGGTTAACACCACTTTCAGTAATCAGGTTGAGTAATACCGATCGATCAATACTGCCGTAAGTAGTCTTTTAACACAGTAATAGGGTTCTATCAAATAATTTGAGCATGACTAACGTGCAGTGGACAGGTTCCTTTGGGCAAAGGGAGTAATTATAACCGTCATACAAAGGCCTGGGATTTTTTTCCAGTTATTAAAGAGTTATCAACTATATTAGACAGTGGAGCTGAAAGTGTCTGCATATACCTTGAATAACAAGAATGATATTTTACCCGAACCAGAAGCTTTGTTTATGTTACTTTCTTATAGGTGTTGGAGGACAGTGGCGGGTCCGACAGTCGATGGTGGTGCAGAGTTAACGAAGTCTGACAGAGGTGTGTACATTGAGCGGCACTGAGTTGAACTCATTGAATTGCTTACCCGGTCTTGACCTTCACACTCGCTCGTGTATTCGTATGCTCTGTGTCGGGTTACGGGCCCATTGTTATCCCGTACATTCGAGTCATAATCTTAATTAGGTAGTATCAGAAAGTATAAGACCATCTGTCGTGTGATGCCAGTTATTTATGGTTCGGTTTTCCCATCTCGTGTTCCCATGAGAACGATAAACTCACTTTTTAAAGATTCAGTTATCCAGTCAGGAGAGAGTGGATTGCTATGAACGAGCAGCCAAAACATCAGTTGGCAAACGAAGATGGCGAGTTGGTTTCCGATGCACATGGGACAGTCTGTAAAATAAGCGATGACATTATTTCATCCTACATAGAGGAGGTTAGTTCGTGTACTTCTACTGTGTGCCACAAAAAGTACTTTATTTTCACAGAATTTTACACTTTTACCAACCTGCGACACCTGTGGCACCACCATTACATCTGATTGTCCCCTCAGAGAAGAGTATAGATCGCAATGACGAGGTTCGTATTCATATTCGTGCTTTGGGTTTGAATAATCTTTCTATAAAAGAATGATTCTATACCGCCTCTGATAGCTCCGTCAAGTTTTGCGTATGCCTGCCCATCGACTACCTTTCCCCGTTTGCGCCCGCTGCGCCTCGGCGGTCAGACCATGATATGGCGTAGAGATATGAAGAAGTTGGTTTCAGTATTGGCTTTGGTTGATGCGGCCCGCTTATCAGACCGGGGTCCAAGGAATTAGGACTGTCGTTGGTTAGAGAGGTCAAGAGGTATGGTCCAGAATATAAGTCAGTAAGTAGCGCGAATGCTGTACAGTCTGCCATACTCCATAAAATAAACGAATAAACAAAAATGTTTCAAGCAGTGTAAAGGTGAAACACACAAAACATCTTTTGTTATTCGTGTTATCCATTTTAACTGTTTCACCTCCATTTCACTCTGTTCTGTATCCCAACCCCCAACACCCATCCCCTGTTATTCTTTTTATTGTTGTGGCGTTGACACCATGCTCATCCACAAGCCCATGTTATATATATATATATATACATATATATATATATTGATATCGACATATAGTTCGGTATAACCCCATCTGTTTAAGTACCAAACGGACTTATCGACGAGTTATCATTTATCCGAGAGACAATCGATTGGTCTCATAAAATGATCACAATTAGCAAATAACAAGAAGTGAAAGCTTATCAGGTTGAAATATATTTTCTTCTTTTCTTTGTTCCAAAGTTTAGAAATTCACAGCCCTGTCTGACAGAACGATTAACTCATACATCATAGATACATCATATTCGGTTTCTTCCTTTTATCATGATCGTGTGTAGAACGTTGAATCACGCGGACGCCTGGCTGGCTGGCTGGTTATCTTCGCACACTTCGTGTCGAGGACCTTCGAGTCAGTTGATCAGCCGACGGAGTGAGCAGGGTTTGACGAATTGGCGGACCAACTGAATCTTTGGACAATCCTCCCGTCAGTTTCATTGTGACCGTGTATTTGGTCGGCACAGTCCGGCTCACCTCTGTCGGATTTTCCACGAGGTCCTTCGCGATTGGACTGGGCAGTGTGGACTGTATGCTGTTGCCCGAGGCTTCTTTGTTGTCCGGTTTTTCACGTTTTGTGAACAATCTGAAGAAGATGATTTTATCATTCTGAAATAGCGTAGAGTTAAAAAACCGAGAAGCGGGATGAACTTACTCAATCAGTTCGGGTCTTATCTTTAGGATTAAAAGAGCAACGATCAAAGTGCTCAATACACATGGGGTTTTGTGAGTAGACAATACCAGAACCCATATCACTTTTCTTGTGGTTGTGAGGTTACACTAAATATCTTGCCATCTCCCCGGCTCTTGAGCCTCTCTACAGATCGTCAAACACGTTTTACCATCAAGGTGTAGCCAAAACACTCAATCCTTTAGCCTCGATCAGTAGTCCTTTAGCCTTGACGCACAAACATCATTCTTACCGCCATGGGCGAGTCTGAAAAAAAGTATTGGAATATACTCTGAGGTCAACGGATATTCCAATGCGATCCACCTCCACAGATTAGCTTGTTTGGGGCGTGTGTTACGTACGTCACTAAATAGGTTGCCACGGTGCCCGATGCTTGCCGAGACAAATCCAGGATGGAAAAAAGATGAGACTGATCAAATTCAGATCTGGCACGAAACAGGCAATCTGATTGGTGCGTCACTGTGACATTCTCCTATTTCTGATTTACTCTATAGATGTTGAACCTGATTTGTGGAATACACTCTGACTGTTGGTTCAGGTGGTGTTCTCTCTCCGCGTCGTTGTTGGTGGTGGTGTTGTTGTTGGGGTTTACTTCAGAGGCGTTGGTATCGACCGTGCGTCTAGATCGAACGCAGCACAAACGGCATTCAGACTATGGAAGATATGGAACCAAACTTTGATTATTATGATGATGTTATCACCGTACATCCATAAACATTATCCCACATTTGACACAAACAGCTGGAGAACATGCCAGCACACTTGTTGGTTAACCAATCTCAGTTTCGAGTGGGCATCGATTTGCTCCATGTGGCAGATTATCTGATCTGGAGTATACAGACGAGATTGTGTTGTTAACAGAAGACTCAGGTGAGTTGCAAGCCTTTCTGGATAGTTTAAGTGCTAGTGTATCCATGTTCGGTATCTTTAAAGTTCAGAACGTTCCGAACGTCTGGGTTGGCCCAGCTCCCAGCTATGGATCAAGTGGACAAAATGTGTTATTTGGGCAGCTACATCTCACCCGGTAGATGCATCGCAGATGAAGAATACAATAGGCTGTATTGACATTTGCCAACCTGAAACATATGTGGCGCTGTCGCGACATTCGTGTGTCTGTTAAGGGTCGAGTGTATGCTGCGGCAGTTCGATCAAGTTCTACTAAATGGCCATTGAGCAAACAGGATAAGGATAGACTGTCAGTGTTTGAACGACGCTGTCTACGTCGCATTGCATGAGTCCGGTGGGACAGTCAGACGAGCAATACTGAGGTTGTTCATAGAGTTTTAGATAACAGCGTTTACCCACTGGAGCAGGTGGTCGACCTCCATAAATCACGTCGAGGTTCGGGTATGTGTTACACACATCATCACGGCGAGCGAGGCAGGTAGTGGGTGGAAGAAAGCCAAGGGTGGTCAAGCAAAGACCCGGTTTGAGGGTATGAAAACCCTAACCGGGAGACTCGGTTACATAGGTGATATGGCTGAGTGTCGTAAACCGTGGGACGTGCGCCCATCTTAGCAATCTGGTTGCAACAGTAGTCTACTGAACTTCTCTCCATTTTCTATTCGACTCTACTTTCAACTCTCCTGTCTTTCTCCTATTCCTTCATCCAAATGCGTTCTCGTGAATGTATATATGTAGTTTGCGGATTTGCTGGTCATTTTGTTCTGTTTATAGCTCGTCAATCTCTCGGTCATTCACGGTGTATCCGGTGATGGACACAACCGGGTTTCGACGGCGTGCAAGCGAGTTTTTCTGTACACACTGGGCCCCATGGACGCTAAATGATCGGAGCCGATAATGCGGGTGTTCCAGTGTGCTTCCCCACACACACACGCTCGCAGGGCATTCAATGCTCCTCGGTGTCATCCTTGAACTGTACCGGTGAAATGTTCGCGCAAAATAGTATCCCAACAACAACAAC